ACGATCGTGGGAGCAGCGGGCCGTAGGCCCGCAGATCGTCAGTGCCCAAAAGTAACGAATTCTGACCTATGTCTTGAAACAAGGCCTGTAGCTATCACAGAGTGGGAGCTGACAACACCCTCCCCAGAGAGAGGGTCTGACTTTCCGTATGCCCTTCAAGACCTCCTGTGCGCTTTCATGTCCTCAAAGCACCACCCCAGTTATAAGCCCTTTAAGTCCCAGACAATTCGCTCCCAGCCTGCAACACCGGAAAGCTTTGGGTTTTTGGGCTTTAGGCTTATGCCGAAAACTCGACAATGGCACAACCGAGTCACGCTCTTGGGCTTTAGACTTTCATGAGAACTCCAAACCCTAAACCCTAAGCCCTAGACCCTAAACCCTATAAACCCTAAACCCTAAACCTCGACCCTTAAATGGTCCGGGCTTGCTCCCGGAACACCAGCCGAGAGGCCATGGTGTCCTGGGGTCCGGGGCCCAACACCTCTAGCGGCCCAAGCTCCAAAATTAGGGTTTAGGGCTTAGGGGTTTCGGGTTTCGGGTTTAGGGTTTAGGCCTTTTCGAACCAATCTCCGTACCCATTCAAGCCATGCGCTTTTGTCCGCACGTTTAAACTCCAAGCCCTAAAACCCCGCGCCGTTGAAGCAAATCCAGGGACCCAAGCCTGAAAGTCCGAAACCAAAGCCCTACCAAGCCCTAACGCTAACCCGAAACTCTAAACCCTAATCCCTAAACCAAAGCCCTAAACCCAAAAACCTTCAAGCCCTAGTGCCTAGACCCCCAAACTCTAACCCTAAACCCTAAACCGAAGCCCTAAACCCCAAAACCTTCAAGCCCTAGTGCCTAAACCCCCAAACTCTAAACCCTAAACCCTAAACCGAAGCCCTAAACCCCAAAACCTTCAAGCCCTAATGCCTAAACCCGCAAGCTGCCAAACGCCAGGACTACGAGGCGCTGATGGCCGAGAAAGTCCTCTTGGTCTATGACGAAAGCAAGGGTCAGGTCCGACCTTTTTCTTTTCTGCTAGGATTCCAGGTTTGGGGTTTAGGGTTTGGGGTTTAGGGTTTAGGGTTTGGGGTTTAGGGTTTGGGGCTTAGGGTTTGGCGTTTAGGGTTTGGGGTTTGGGGTTTGGGGTTTAGGGCTGTCCAGCTGTAGGGCTTGCGGTTGAGGGTTAAGGTATCCCGAGCGGGTTAAAGAGTCCGAAGGCCGGACGGAACCCGCAGCACCCTTGCTTCTGATGATGCCGGAATTTCCGAAGCAGAGTGGAACTTAAGCACAATCGGAGGCTAGACGTAGTTTGCACTTTCTCATGGCAGGACATGGCCGTGCTGAGCTTAAGCTCGTAGTGCGGTTCAGGGTTTGGGGACTCCACCAAAGTGTCATGTGCTTGGCGGATCTTCGCCTCCGTGGCTTGAGATGAACTCGCCACAGGCGATGTTCGTGTCGCACCAGTGGGCGGGGATTGGACATCCGGATCCCTCTATGAAGCAGTTCCGTGTATTGCAGGACATTCTTGCCCTGATCGTTTGGATTCTGGGTTTCCCGATTCCGATTCAGTATCGAGTCCTTTTGATCTGTCGCTGATGCGTGAGGGTCAAGGGCTCTCAGGGTTCAGGAGGGTATGTCGGGTGGTGTCTAGATTTCAGAGGCTGGGACTTGTCGGGGTTTTGCTTGAAACCATGGCTTTCTGCAACGATGACGGTGGCGACGGCGACGATGAGTGCAGCGATGGTTCGTGCATTTTGTAATGCTGCTGTTGTCAGTACACTCGCGATCACGACTACGAAGACTGAGAGATTCCATGCTTAAAACCATAGATGTTATTAACTCATGGTTGTTAACTACCACTATCAGTGCCACTGCCGTTACCACGACCACGACCACGACTACTA